TGTTGTAATTTGTGTTTTAACAATTTTTTAAGTCAATCAAAAAATTGTCCTCTTTTTTTTCAGGCTACTTAAATTTATTTTGGGCTACCAAAAACTGAAGAGTGTCTGCCCGAAGGGCTACCAGAGATTTTGAAATTTTGTGAGCCCTGATACATTTAATCACACATCATTTAAAAGAAGACTGAGTCAAAGAATCAGAATCAGAATATTTTAATAAGTTCAACAGGGCTGTGATGATGTGGAGTGATCAGTGAGTCAGCTGTAACCACAGCATCACTGCAACTAATGATTAATGATAATTTCCATCAACTCTTAAATCGCGTACACAAGTTATGATTAAGGTTTGTTTAACAAGGACAGGAAAGTGAGAAGAAAAACAGCAGAACAACTAATAAATGAGTAAATCGTAAAGATTCTCATCAGGTTGGTGGTGATCTCACACTGAATTATCAGCTTAATTAACAAACAGTCTGATGTAATTATTTAATGGTTTAATGGTCAGTGTCACTTTTGTTTCAGCATTTCGGTTGCTTGCTCGATGCTCATTTTGGAGCTTCTTCACGGGCCACTCAAACCCCTCGGGCATGCAGATGTGGTCAGTGGAGTTGTTACTTCAGCTGCTGTGAAAAGGATGTTATTCCATGGATTATGTAAAAGTCTGTGGAATAATAATTTTGTACATTGTGGGGTAAAATAAAGCCACAAACCACCTACTGGACTCTTTCTGATGCGCAGAAAGGGAACAAAAGTGCTTTTTTTGTAGGAGGGGAGCTTTTTATGGTGCTTAAGGGCACAGCAGCACCTTTCTTAAAAATCAAATTGAAACCCTGCTGGTTGGTTTTATGTGTCAGATTCATAAGTCACAGATGGTCCCACATGTTGCTCACTCGGTCTGTGCGTGATCAGTTGATGCCGTCCTCGTTCAGCAGGAGTTTATTACGTAAAGCTTCTTTTCTTGGGAATAATGACGTTCTGAAATAAACACGCCTCCCGTTGTGTTGTTTCTGTGGCATGTACTGAATTGTGGTGGCTCTATTCAGCGGGTGCTTGATCTGTGCGCTCTGTTATCTGATCAGATCCATATTGATAACACTTTACAGCGCTAACGTGGTTTTGAGAAAACAGGAAGTTCTGGTCTTTGCATTATGCCAGGTTTTGAGACACTGTAGGCTTTTTTACCTGCGTCACAGGATGTTAGCAATAATGTTTTGCTCTTTTTTTTTTTCTTTTCTTTTTTTCTTTTTTTTTTTAAATGAAGAATGAATTTTGTTTCAGTAAAGGCACCAAGTGGACCTGACTCATTGTAGTTTGCATATCAAAATTGTTACGTTTTACCTGTCAGAGTAAAGGCCCGTTCCCACTCAAGGTATTTGTCATATTAAATAAAGAGCAGAGGTGTCGTCTGCGACCCAAACACAATTCGCAGGATGGATACAACCATTTAGTTTTTATTGTGTGGTCTTATTAAAGTGCACATTAAGCATTTCCTTGTGTGATACTCTAACAGGGAACAGGCCTCTTTTCTTTTGAATAGACTTTAGCGTTTCCCACAGTTGGATTCATTTTGTGGCGAGGGTGGGACATTAAAACAAAACATGTGAGAGGCATTAATACATTATCTTATGTTTTCATTTGTGTCCATTTGTTTTTTATTTGATTTTAACAATTTGTTTTTGTATTTTTGTTTCTGCAGGAGCCAAAGTCGTCATCTCAGCTGCTGGATGACTGGGGCATGGAGGACATTGACCACGTCTTCACCGAGGAAGACTACCGCTCGCTGACTAACTACAAAGCCTTCAGCCAGTTTGTCAGGTACATGGACGGATGTGATATAAAGTGCTAGATAAATGAAAGTGTGCGGTATCGAGAGCTCGTACACGGTGCAGGCGTAACTGTTTGTTGACTTTGGGTTTTAAAGGGATGTTGGAGAAGAGTGCAACAAAAAGGTGGTGAAGTTAATTTTACCATCTCACGGAAAGCTGCCACGTCCACTGTCCTCTGTTAATCAGTCCAGGATCACCTGCTTGGACTCGTCCAGTTGCAGGGAAAGAAGGAACAGCAAAAACATAAATAATGATAATTCAGTTTCCTGCTAATTTACACTGTAAATGCACAGAAACAACAGAAACCAACTCCCAGCATTGCTTCTGTTACTCACTGCTCAGGATGTAACCGTGCAGACTTGCACAGCAGCTGATACCTACTGAACACATGTGACCCACAGCAACATCAAAACGTTGAACTTTGACTAAAATAAACTGCTAAAGAAACTCATCATGATCAGTAATCAACGTGCAGTCAGCTGCATGTGTACCATTCGTTTGATGCTAAATGAACTCGTGCCCATTCTTAAAATTTTATTTCCTGACACCCGTCTCAGGCCCCTCATCGCTGCCAAGAACCCAAAGATCGCCGTGTCTAAGATGATGATGGTTCTGGGCGCAAAGTGGCGTGAGTTCAGCACCAACAACCCTCTGAGGGGAGCTGCTGCTGCCAACGCCGCCCTGGCTACCGCCAACGTGCCGGCTGCTGTTGACACCATGGTAGCAGAGGTCACGCCGCCCGCCGCAGCACAGCCGCCTCCAGCGGAGCCTCCTCAGGCTCCTGCTCCCCCGCTCCGCAAGGCCAAGACCAAGGAAGGCAAAGGTATCCTGAGCAGGAGAGGTCACATGACAGGCTAAAATATCAGCCTCCTGTATCTGTGTGACGCTAAACTGAGTTTTTCTCCTCTTCTTCTTTTTATTTTTTCCCCGGCAGGTCCCAACGCCCGCAGGAAGCCAAAACCCGCACCAAAACCACAAGAGAAGAAGAATAATACGAAAACAAAGAAAGTGGCTCCTCTCAAAATCAAACTGGGCGGCCTCAACAGCAAGAGGAAACGCTCATCAGTAAGTATCAAAATATCATCATCATCATCTGTTATTAAACCCACCACTGTGCCCAGTATAGAATAGTGTTTTTAACCAGTTTATTAAAAAAGTGGGGAATGGGTATTGGCTGTTCAATAAGGTAGTGCAGTAAGAGGCACAGGTCAAAGTTCATTCAAGCATTTCCGACGAGTCAGGTTACATCAGCTTGTTTAATGAAACCCTGAAGCCAAGAACAAAGCTGTCTGTGCCTCGAACCAGGAGGAGTTTATTTTGCTTTTGCGTTTATTCGTTTTAATTAAGTTCGTGTTACACGTTACTCCAAGTAGCTGCAGAAGAGATCGTAAATCTTATTCTCTTAAGCTGAGGGAACCCTGTTGTATCCTAAACGCATCTTAAAATCTTGTGTCCCGTGCGCACAGAGCGAGGAGGACGAGCCCGACGTGGACAGCGATTTTGATAACGGCAGCATCAACAGCGTGGCGGTCTCCGAGGGGTCAAACAGTCGCAGCAGCCGCAGCAAAAAGAAGCCATCCAAGAGCAAACCCAAGAAGAAGAAAGGTGCGTCTTTAAGACTGAAACGAAGCTCAGGTGTGATGAGCCGGTGCTCCTGTGCTCGCTTAAACAGTTGCTGATGGGGCGTACCGACTGAAGATTGCTGGTTAGCTGTGCAGTAATGACTGCGTTCGGGGTGAAGTATTAGTAGCGTGTGGCCTTGTTGACGACATGAGGAGGAGTGTACACACACACACATTAATCACTGCGACTGAGTCAGAGCAGTTTGGTATATTTAGAAGGACGATGTCTTCATCAGGCCCGTCGCCTGCTGATGCCTCTTCTGTAGCTGTTGTCACCGGTCGGATGACGTAGCGGATGGAGTCACATGAACTGAAAGATGACGGAGTCCTCGCAGACACCCTGCTGCGTAGGCGTGGAAACTTTGAACTGGTTAAGGTTTTAGCTGCAGATGGAAAGTAGAATTTGCGCTGGGAGATTATTGGATTACAGTTTTTGGCCGTGAGTGATTATGAAGGTAAGATAGTCGGAATATAATTATTACAACCTTTCATTTTCACTAAAAAGCAGTTTTGGGGGTTTTTTTCTCCTTATAAATCTAATGCACAGATTTCTTGTAGAGCTGTGTGGTTCTGGCTGTAGAAACTCAGACTTGCGAGCACTTTTGATCATCTTGAGGACATTTGGCAGATGAGAAGGAGAGCCTGTTTCTGTAGGGGACGTCAGGCTGCTGCAGAAGAAGCTGTGGACAAATGACAATGGCTGCCTGTGGCTCCTTTTCCATCTGGATGTCTAAAGATCCTCAGCAACCACCCTGCTCTGTGGTTGCTGAGGGTCCTGTGTTATCTAGGCCAGCGGTCCCCAACCCCCGGGCCTTGGACCGGTACCGGTCAGTGAGTCGTTTGGTACCGGGCCGCGAGAGTTGAGGCTCAGGTGTGAAATGTATAGTTTTCAGGGTTTTTATCAGTTTTCAGCGTTATTTTGTTATCGTTTTTATCGTTAACTCTGTTTTCCTGGGTCTTTTCACGTGTGTTATGAATAAATCTCCTTTTTTTCGGTACCGGTACTGATTTTATTTTGGCCGTGGCGCAAAAAAAGGTTGAGGACCGCTGATCTAGGCCTCTTGTCGGCTCATCTCCATCCACAGATGCCCCGGTGGAGACCAGCGAGACGCCTTCCTGTCAAAAACATCCTTATTTGAACCTTCAATCTTAAACTGGGAGACTTTGTACCTCATTTGAATGTCCAAGGATAACTTTGGCGTGCTGACTGGAGTAGCCAGGAATCGAACCATCAACCTCCTGTAGACCGTTTCTCCCTACTGATTTATAACTGTTTAACTATGATGTTTTATATCAAGATTAGTTATTTATCAAAATAATGAACATTGGGGTTCTACCATATTTGAGCAGCCCTACCCTAAGTGTCCTAAAATATAAATGGTCAGTATATTTATTTTATTTAATTTAATTTCACTGTTGTCCGTCGAAGGCACTGCAACTTTTTTTGGCTTTTGTTCAGCCAGATTCAGGCGAGTGAGGTTTAACACACTCCTGTAGTTTGCGCAAATGTTTTGTTTTTGGTGACACTTTAGATTTTGATCAAACACTTTAGCTCTTTTTTTTTCTTCTTTCCTTCCCACTAACCCAAACTTGGTTTGGTCAGCAGGCTGAAAATCTGAGTGTTTTTGTTTCTGGCTGTGTTTAGGTGTTTCGGTGGGATCTCTCTCTAAAACAGTTACTTCATCCTAGTGAAGCCCGTCAGTTTCAGTCTGTCGGTGTCATTGAGAGAATCTGAGCTTGAGGGGAAAGAGTGACTCACTGAGTGGTTTTTTCTCTGACAAGCAACATAAACACACAGCTCAGTGTCATAAACACGATCACGGATCACAGCGCGTATCACTTCCTGACTCTGTTAACGTGAGACGTTAGTAGATGTAATGCTTTTTGTCCTTCCTCATCAGAAGTAGAAGACGGTGACGGCTATGAGACGGACCACCAGGACTACTGTGAGGTGTGCCAGCAGGGTGGGGAGATCATCCTGTGCGACACCTGTCCCAGAGCGTACCACATGGTCTGCCTGGACCCTGACATGGAGAAAGCACCGGAGGGCACCTGGAGCTGCCCGCACTGTGTAAGAAACTTACTCCACCTTAAAAAAATAATTACCCTTCTGAAGGTCAGACAAAGCACATAAAGTGGCTTCAGTTGCTTAATAATGGACGTTTTATTTTATAGTGGTAACATCAGGAGGTTCTAGCTTTCTGATGTTTAAACAAAAGTGCATCTGTTCGATCACAAAGTCTGGGTTCAAACATTTCAGCGTGGAGCGGTTACAATTTTTCTTTAATTTGTCACTGGTAACACTGTTTCTTTTTTTAAATCATTAGACACCAGTTAAAATAGTTGGAAACTGTAGAAGAAACATTGTGATTAAAGGTCATAAAGCATAAACTCTCCTGCGATTGCAGGAAAAGGAGGGCATCCAGTGGGAAGCCAGAGAAGACGGCTCCGATGGCGAGGAGGACAACGGAGACGCGGGCGACATGGAGGAGGACGACCACCACATGGAGTTCTGCCGAGTTTGTAAAGATGGCGGAGAGCTGCTCTGCTGCGACTCGTGCCCCTCGTCGTACCACATCCACTGCCTCAACCCGCCGCTCCCCGAGATCCCCAACGGGGAGTGGATCTGCCCCCGCTGCATGGTGAGCGAGAGGACGGTCAGGGTTAAACGTGGTGATTGTGCTAACATGCGTTATTATTATTTATTGATCATGTGGTCAGTTATGGGATTCTTTAGGTCACCGTGGTTTTAAAAATAAAAGAGAGAGAAGAAGGAAGGATTTGATAATATATAATACCTTGTGCATTATGTTAATATACTAGTTTTGGCATAGTGGCACAATAGTGGCACAAGTTCTCCACCAGTGCAGGTTTTGGTTGGGGAGGCATTCCAGAACACAAGGGAACAAGAACGGCAGAGGTGGAGTTTGTTTGTTGGAGACTCAAAGCCAATGAGTGACATCAGAGACCACAACAATAGTGACCTGACTAACCTGCCAGTAGGAAAACACTAGATGGGATGAAGTGGTATTAGCTGGTTAGCTAATGAGGGGATTGTCCACTAGTAAACCGACCATGTTGTTGTCATAGACATTAAAAAAAACATCTGTCCTCTCAAAAGTTCTTTGAAGTTTGAAGTTTTTTGTTTTTTTTTTAAAGCTGAAACTGTTTTTAAATTTTAGTGGATCAACTGATTTTTTTCTTTTTCACCAGTTTTAATTAAAAGCATCCAAAAAGACTTAAACCTTTACTGCCCCCCTCCCCTCCAGTGTCCACCCATGAAGGGGAAGGTCCAGAAAATCTTGACATGGCGCTGGGGAGACCCCCCTCCTCCCACACCGGTCCCCCGTCCCCCAGACCTCGCAGCCGATGCCCCCGACCCCGCCCCGCTGGCAGGGCGGCCCGAGAGGGAGTTCTTCGCCAAATGGTGCAACATGTCCTACTGGCACTGCTCGTGGGTCACGGAGCTCCAGGTGCGTGCAGCTTCAGGAAAGCTTTAAATCTCTGATAGCTGAAGCTCATCCTAAACTTCTTCTCGTGCATGTTGTGCAGCTGGAGCTGCACTGCCAAGTGATGTTCAGGAACTACCAGAGGAAGAACGACATGGAGGAGCCGCCCCCCATCGACTTTGGGGAAGGAGAGGAGGACAAGTGTGTCAAGAGGAAGAGCAAGGACCCCATGTATACACATCTGGAGGAGAAATACCTCCGCTTTGGGATTAAGATGGAGTGGCTGATGGTTCATCGAATCCTTAACCACAGGTCAGTCTGAGCTTCTTACAGACACAATGTTACACACATTAGACTTCAGCTCTGATTCTGTACTATCAAACCATCAACAAGAGTCACTTTTTTCTATCAGAGTAAATTATTTTGAATTAATTATAAACTTTTTTAGATTTAGATTTTTAGATTACTTCATTAGTGTTTACACAATCTCTAAACTTATTCTATTCAATCTTAATTTTTGTCATTCTCACCGTTCTGGAGTGAACAATCTACTAAAGACAACAAATAACTTTGATTAAATCTTCTGTGCCGGCTCTTTTCCCCCAGTGTGGACAGAAAAAATAACGTCCACTACCTGATCAAGTGGAGAGAGCTGCCGTACGACCAGGCGACCTGGGAGGCCGAGGACATGGACATACCCGAGTATGACCCGTACAAACAGCAGTACTGGAACCACAGGTGAGTTAAGTTCTGCACAGCTGTGTTAACAACCTGAAACTTGCCGCTGTTTACTCATAGTGCGTGTTTGTTCCAGAGAGCTGATGATGGGAGAGGAGGGAAGACCTGGGAAGAAGATAAAGGTGAAAGGAAGAGTGAAGCGGCCTGAAAGACCTCCTGAGAACCCGGTGATCGATGTAAGTTGGAATTAATGAGTCTTTGAGAGGGAATGAGTCCTAAAACTCAGTCAGTGGGTTTTAGGTGACTTTATGCTCGCTGCACTGGTCACAACTAGAGCAGGGC